CCTGCTGAGGGTATAGTAGGCAGCATCTGGTTTCTGTGTAACAGATACACCCCCTACCCCAACCTATACCCTGACCAGTCCCCAAGTGAAGACTGGACCATGGAGGAACGCTTCCGCCCTCTGACCTTCCACGGCCTGGTCCTCCGGTCGCAGCTCGTCACCCTGCTCGTCCGAGGCGTCTGTTACTCTGAAAGCCAGTCGGTGAGTCTCTCGTTAGCAGCAGGGTTCTAGATGGCAGGGGGTGCTAGGAGCACAGCCCCTGTACCTCTGGGCAAGAGAGAGGTGGTTCTTCAAGTGTGCGTGTGTCAGTGGACCGCTGTGTGCAGTGCGCGTGCAGTGAGCGTGCGGTGGCCTGTGCAGCCAAGGCTCCCTCTGCTGTGGTCAGGGTCCTCGCCAGGTGACCCTCAGGGAGGGAAGGTGAATTTTCCTCCTGTCATTCTTCTCGTAGTCTCCACACCAGTTGAGAAGCACACTTCTGCTCACCCCCCAGGCTTGTGGTACAATTTCTGTATTTAAATTCCTGGTATGAATGAACTTTCTTACATGTATTATCAAAAGAAAGACCATCCTTCCTGGCAATTTCACTGTTGTCTTCTTTTTTCTTTCGTTTGGTTTTTAGAGATAAGGGGTGGGTGGAGTGCGTTGTTCAAAGACCCACTGCTTTTAGACACTGCCTTTTTAGATGGAGACTGAGAAAGCCACCCAAAGACCTGGTTTCCAAACCAACTGTCTTGGTTGGGTACTTGACTGTGGGAGGCCAGAGCTGCATAAGGGCACTTACAGGGTGGGAGAGAAAGGGCCAGGGCAGAATTGGGCAGACCAGTCTGGTTGGAGATGGGGTAGGTGATGTGCAGCTCAGGGTAAGGGAGATAGAGTGATGAGAGCAGATCCTGGAGGGCTTACCTGGGTGCAGACAGCAGCAGTGTCTGACTGATAGAGCATGGGGTTCCGGGTGCTACCTGGTGGGCAGTAGACTAGTGAAATGGAGTTGGTTGTGTGAAAGGTGAGGGTGTGCAGGGTGGAGTCAGGGGAGTCAGGGGAGGGTGACGGCACCAAAGAGAGCAGTGGTTTGTGCTGGGTCACTGGCCCTGCCGTTTTGCCACTGTCACATGGTCCTGAGTGTCCCTCCCTTTTTTTGTAAGGACACCATCACTGGATTAGGCCCACCTTAATCTAGCATGACCTCATCTTGACTTGATTACATCTACAAAGACCCTATTTCAATAAGATTGTAGGGTACCAGGGTCACAGGTATTGGGGTGAGGACTTGGCCATATCATTTTGGGGGACACAGTTTAATACATAACTGCTACAATTAGCATGAAACATTTGCTCTTTAAACAAAAGAAAATTAAAGAAAGAAAATTATTTTCTTTAACTGTATTTATTTATTTTTAATAAATTGACCAGCAAGGGACAGAGCAAGAGTGAGACAGAGGGAAAGCGAGAAAGCAAGCCACCAGGTCCGGGACTTAAACCGCAATCGGCCACGTGGGAGTCCAGTGCCCTTAAGCACCACACCACCTGTCGGCCCCTAGATATTTGCTCTTTTTACAGATGAAGAAAGAGTGATTCAGAGAGATTAGGGGACTTGCCCAGGGTGGCACAGTTAGGAATTGGACCAAGATGTCTCACTCCAGAGTACCTGCGGCTGGCCCATACCACCTTCCACTCAGCGGGGCCATGGCCAGACATGTCTGGACCTTGAGGGGGAGGAGGCCCTAAGTATGACCTGCTCGGCACTATTGTCCCATATAAGCCCAGTCCTGGTTGGCGTTACAGAGTGCCAGCCAGCCACGCCTGTCCTACGCTGAGATGGCCGAGGATTACCCACGGTACCCCGACATCCACGACCTGGACCTGACACTGTTGAACCCACGGATGATTGTGGTGAGTGGGGCTGTCTGTCTGGGCACGGCCTGCGGAGACACTGCTCATCTCAGATCCCAGGTGACTTGTGCTGTCTGTCCTGCAGGATGTCACCCCGTACATGAACCCTTCACCTTTCACTGTCTCCCCCAACACGCACGTCTCCCAAGTCTTCAACCTGTTCAGGACGATGGGCCTGCGCCACTTGCCGGTGGTGAATGCAGTGGGAGAGGTGAGTCTGAGTCTGGGCGGAGGAAGGAGAACCTGTGCTCCTGCCTCTGTTGTCCACCTGCCCTTCTCAGAGGGATCCTCCAGCCAGTGTGCTGTTTATGAGCCCCAGCCTCTTAACCAGGAGGAAACATTAGAATCCCACAGAGTGATTTCTCAAGCTAAAGCCTCCTCTGAACCTCTCCCACTGAGAGGCAAGAGAGAGGAGGGATTAGAGCCAGCTGAGTCCTGTGGCCTGAAAACCTCCTCCCACCTCACCCTGGTTGGCCAGCAGATGGCACCAGTGTCCTGGCCTTAATCTCTGCCTGCCTGCCTGAAACATTTAGGTCTTTTTTTTTTAATGTAAGATTTTTGTCATAGGCCTTGTGGGCTCCCCAGAAAAAGGCAGGGACAGAAAGAGAGGGAAAGTAAGAAAACACCCCCCACAGGGAATGGCCACACTGAAATCCCTTCTCCAGTGTCCTAGGATTTGGGGCATGCACACACACACCTGGCGAGATTTTCATGCCGCAGGGTCCAAGACTTAAACTGCGCAGTTGGCCGCGTGGGACCTAGCACCTTAGCCTCCACACCACCTGCTGTCCCTAGGCCTGTCTCTTAATTCTAAAATATTTCTCTTTACTTCTGATCTAGCCTTTGTGTTCCTTAGTTCCCTACCTGTTTTGAGGATTTATAATGAATTTCAAGCAAAATACTTTGAGAGTTTACAACAACATAAACCTAGTGATTATTACTGCAGATTTTTCCATTTTTTTCTCATTTTTTAGAACTTCATTATTTTCTTATTACACAAATATTCTTTCATTGTAGGAAAATAAGAAACTATAAATAAGCCAAAAACCACAAAAAGAGAACAGAAAACAAACCCGACCTCTACTTTGCAGAGGGAGCTGTGTGTTAACTTTAATGCATAACCCGTCTTTTTCTCTGCACATCTGCAGGTCAAGGTAGAGCATCTGTAATCCAAAAATCTGAAATCTGAAGTGCTCAGAAATTCAAAACTTTCTAAGCATTGACATGACACCATAAATGGAAAATTTCACACCTGACCTCATGTAATAGGTCACAGTCAAATACTATAATGCAAAAATATCGTACGAAATGACTTTCAGGTTATGTGTTTATGAAACAAATGACTCTCATACTTGGCTTGGATCCTATCCCCAGGACACCTCATTATGTATTTATAAATTCTCAAAATCCTGAACAAAACCCCAAGTCTGAAACTCCTGTGGTACCAGGCATTTTAGATAAGAGATATTTAACCCGTAGAGATTTTCTATATTAAATGTTAAAGAAAATAGAGTAATTGTTCATACTGGTTAGTAGCCTAATTTTTCACTTAAGTTGTAGGAAGTGACTTTCCATGACAGGAAACATTCACCCCTGTTGTTGTTTTATTCCAGTTTTTAACTCTCAAGGTGTGCACACACATCAGAGAGAGAGAGACAGAGAAAAATCACCCCCGGGGGGGATGGCCATGCCACAGTCCCTTCTCCATTCTCCTCTTGGGATTTTGGGCATGCATGCACACAGGCCCAGTGTGAGTTTCAAGCTGCCGGAACGCAGAGTCGGCCATGTGGGACCCAGGGCCTTATTAACCTCCATGCCGCCTGCTGGCCCCTACTTCTGGTCGCATTTTAATGGCTCTGGAGTATGGCTGATCACTTTTTCGGATTTCTCTATTGTTAGATACTTAAATTTCAGCAATTTTTCTCTTTTAAGGCTTTTAGTACATGTTGCCAAAATGCCCTCCAGGAAATGATGCCTCTTAAAGGGAAGGTGTCATACAGTATATCCACAATATAACCCCGCACACAGCGCGGCGTGTTCTTCCACAGCTCTAAGTGCAGTAGACGGTATTGCGTTCCTTGAAAGGAACTGCCGACTGCCCTGACAGGCTCCAACAGCTTACCATGTGGCTTTGCTGTAGCCAGCCTCAGTGAGGAGAAGGGACCACCTTGATGAATTGTGAACAACAACTCTTGTAGATAGTTTCACAAAGTGGTGTTTACTTGGTGTAGCAGGGATCACACTTTCAGAACCCTTCAGGGCTCGCCTCTTGCACGTGTCTGTGTCCTGTTTAAAGACATTCCAACGCGAGTGTAATTGACCCAGCTTAGACCTTTGTTGATCTAATTCTGTCCCCTTGGCCTGCAGTTCCTTAGTTATCTGTTTATCTTGTTCTCTTCCTGAAGTTCGGAAGCCTTTGAAGCAGGTATTCCTGATCACGCCCTGCCTGTCTTGTCTAGGGTCCAGTTCTGTCTTCCTCCATATCACTCCTGCTCTTGCCACTTCAATCCTGCATGACTAGGGTCTTTTCTCCTTGCCCTAGATTGTCGGGATTATCACACGGCACAACCTAACGTATGAGTTCCTGCAGGCCCGACTGAGGCAGCACTACCAGACCATTTGACGGCCCAGCTGGCCTCCTTACCACCGGCCAGCCCACCCGCTCGCGGAGCTGCCTGGGCCGGCGACTCACTCATGCTTCAGCCGGCACAGTGGGCTGGGACTGTCCCAGAGCACGGAAGGTTCCTAGTCACCCACTCGATTGGAAAGCCTGGAGTCATCGAACTGCTGGTCAGACATCCTGGGGTGGTGGTGAAGCATCAGAGCTTGGACCCTTCTAAATTCCTCAGCAAGTATCTTCATGTTTCCTGCCCCCTGTGTTCCTGCCGTGCAGTGTTTGCCCAGGCCTGCCCAGGCCCCACTCGAGCTAGGACCAGAGGTGGAAGTCAGGCCCAGCCCCGAGGGGACGTTCAGCGTGGTTTTCCTCCGTCCTTGCTTTCCCTGAGAACCCAGCTGTTGCCTTAAACCATTGTGGGAGGGGCTTTGACCAAGGCAAACACTGGGAGGGGCTGCCAGTTGCAAAATCAAATTGATTACTAAATTTAGGAATTGGGCACTGAGAAAGTTCTCCAGGTTTTAAGGAAGCCTTCACAGGGACTCTGAACCCCTCATCCTCTAGTTCCCCTAAGGGACGTGTTCTGCTTTGTGAGTGTGGGTGGGTGCTCTGGTCTTGTCGCTGTGGTTTGACTCTCCTTAGAACCACCACCCTCCAGAAGCACAAAGCCTTACAGTCCCACTGAGAATCTGTACAGGATAAATCAGCATAGGATCGCCACAGCTGCCCTGGAGGTTAACATTTCTGCTTTCTCTCCATCTGCAATTACATGGTCTCTGCTAACATGTTCCGACCCCAACCATCCCCGAGCCTTTTCATCTCCACGACTTGGCAGACTTTGCTGACGCTTTCCTCGTCATCTCCTCACAGTACCCCGAAGTTAACTAAAAGCAGGGTACGCCTAGATAAGCTGCCTCACTGAACTCAAGGGAACGGCCCCCTTTTTAGAAGGTGGATGGGAGTCAGTGCGACCCCTTTTGGGTACGTGGAAGTTAGAGAAAATGGTCGGTTCAGGGAAGAAGCCGTCCACCTTTCACACACCTCTCTCCCACCCCTGATGCCAGCCATCCCCACCCTACTGAGGGCTCAGAATAGGAACTTTGTGGGAGTCTTCTGTGCTGCAGGGTGGGTGAGGTGGGGAGAAGAGATGCTTCCTGCCAGTGTGTGTGGAGGGATCAAGTATTGGACTCCCCCATCCTTGTCTTTTAGTGACTTTGTTCCTCTCCAGGCCGGTTGGTCCCTCTCCAAATAGGCACCCACAGCGAGTGTCTGGGCTTCAGGCGTTTGCACCTGTCTCCTCCTACCTTCCACATAGTCACCGTCGCCATGGTCCCATCAAGTATCTTTGTGGCAGACCTACTTTGGGACTCAAGACGGCATTCACAGCTCAGCAGCTTGAGGCTATGTGGGAGACCCGGGGTCAGCTCCCAGCCCATACTGAGAGCCGGCCTCTGAGGCACGCCTGTGGTCCTAGCTACTCAGGAGGCTAAGGCAGTAGGATTGCAACAAAATGAGATTTGTCTTAAAAGAAAAGTGGCATTCATTTCCATTTAGTTTTTTCAGACCATGGAAGTTGCCCGAGGGCATTGGTGTCTTGGCATCTAGCCTCAGCCTGTGCTGCTTCCTGTGGCTCTCATTCAGCCCAGGCATGGTGTCAGTTCTGGCTTTGTTGACCTAGGTCAACCCAAGTGCTCTGCACTCCAGGGAGCGATTGCACTGAAATCAGGTGGGGTGGGGTTCGGGGGTTATTGCTTTAGGACTCTTTCTAGTTAACTGAATCCCCCTCCCCATTTATCTCTTTGACCAAAATTACTTTAAGTTTTTTAGGTTCTCTGGATGTGCCTGACTTGTGAAACGGGGATGACACTCCCAGTAATCAGTTCAGAAATTCACAAGGACCAAAAGCGAAAGTTTTAAGTGTGACTGTTCAACCAGCTGCCGCCCTGTTTTGTGGCAGCATTCAGAGCTCAAGCATGCCACTGCATCCTCTCCGTAGGGAGACCCGTTGCCCAAGTCAGGAGAATGGTGTGACCATCTGCCACAGAAGCTTTGCCCCTTTTCCACCCTCACTGGAGTGGCAGAGCCTCAGCCCTGCAGGAGGACCCTCTAGAGGCCAGGATGCCAGCCGCCTGCCTCGAGGCTGCCCTGGGCCCCGGGTGAATGTTGCTGGAATCTATTCCTCGTGCACATCACGTGTTTAAGTCATCAGGTGTTTTGTTCCCATCAGTGTAGCCCAGAGATAGACAGTAAAATGCAAATGCCTCCCTTCCCCTGGCCACCTGGATGACTGCCAAGGGGGACCCAAGCCCAGGGCCCTCTGGGGAGACATGGTTTCTTGTCCTCTGCTGTGTCTGCCCTTTCCAGAGAAGCCCAAAGATGATGACTTCTCCACTCACAGGTAACTGTTAGCCTTGCTCCTTGATTCTTGACCATTGGAAACCAGAGTCTACAGCTCCTCACCTGCTACTAGCCCCATCACCCCCTGTGATTAGGTCACCTCGGTCACACACACACACACACACACCCAGAGGGCACCTGGGGTGGGCAGAGGCGGTTTTCTGTGTTTTGTCTCCAGCTTGGTGTTCCGTGACTCCCGGCTGGGGCACTTGGAGTGGGGAGTGGAACTGACAGGTCCCCAGTCACGACCGTGGGACATTTGTGATCCGAGTGAGGATTTGCTTGTGACCTTGCTTAACTAAGAGTTTTTGGCTGCAGTGGATACTTGCTTGAGTTGGCCGACTGACCACGTGGCATTTCTGGTGCAGACCTGCGCTGACGGCCCTGCCCCGGCCGTGCAGTATTGATGTGCAGTGTTGCCCCGAGTCCTGTGGACCTTGGTCTTCGACAGTTGCAGCTTCCTTTCTTCTGTTTGCACTGTTTATACAGCAATGTTAGCTAATACCACTGTGTATATAAATCGTATTTTTTTTTTAATTTGTAAAATTCTATTTTTATTTGAACTTCGGAACTTGGAAATTCTGTTACCATACATGTCAGAATAAAATGTCTTCATCTCTCTCCTTCTCTTTCTAATATGTAAGTCTTCTAACACTGGAGGTAGTTTTATAGTCTCAAGTCTTTTCATACAGAGGACTTCAGAAAGCTTGTGGGGAAGATGAATTAAAGTATGAGTTTATGTTGAAGCAAACATTTTTAAATTCCATGTGTAGTTTATTTTATAATATTTTTTAAGAGAGAAAGATTTTTGCTATAAAGGCACATGTGCTCACTGGAGAGACAGAAAGCGAGAAATCACCCCCCCCCCCCGGGGGGAATGGCCACAAAGCAATCCCTTCTCCTCCGTTCTCCTCTTGGGATTTTGGGCATGCACACACATGTGCCGGACATGAGTTTCAAGCCTCTGGGACCAGGACTCGAACTGTGGTTGACTGTGTGGGAGTCCAGCAACATAACTGTTAGGCCATCTACTGGTCCCCCATGTGTAGTTTTTTTTTTTTTTTTTTTCCCCCAGTTTTTGCTATAAGGTGCATGTGGTCACCAGAGAGAAACCGAGAGGGAAAGTGAGAAATTACCCTGGGGAGTGGCCAAGCCACAGTCCCTTCGTTCTCCCTTCTAGACCCTGAAGGGAGGTCTAGAGATTCTCAGGTCCCCAGGTCCAGGATTGGAACTGCAAAGTCAGCCACGTAGAATCTAGCTGCCCCAAACCTCCATACCACCTGCTGGCCCCATGCATTGCTTTTCATAATACACATATTCCATGAACTTCTGGAGGCCCCTCAGATGGCCGCCCCACTGGGCTCCTCATTCACTTAACAGTGAGGCAGCTGCCGTGGAGTGGAAGTCGTCCTGTGGGCTTAGCAGAAGTCACCAAGTTCCCACCGTCTTGTTTCTTCAAACACGTGCGGTTCCATCTTACTGGTCCTTTTCTCCTTTCAAAGCCACCTCTTCCTGCCAGCAGCTGCTTTCCAGAGCAGTAGATTCTCTACTGGAGAATCCGGTAGATTTCCTGCCTGTGTTGCACTAAGGAACTTGCCCCAGAGTCCCGGATAGCCAAGCAGAGAGTAAGGAAATCGCTGGGTCCCTGAGGCTGTGCCTCACTTCTGTCAGTGCCATGTGCCATCCCTTTTCCACCTGCTTTCTGCCTCGCTCTGAGCGACCTCAAGCCTCTGTCCCACCCTCCCAGTAGAAACCCTCTTGGTCCTTTCACACTCCTCCACCCATCCTCCAGTTTCCTCTGAGTGCTAGGGGACGTTTTCTGCCTTGTGAATCTGTCACTTTCAGTCCAGTCTGTTCTGTGTGTTAGGGGGACACCTTGGGAGTGTGCCCATCTACCACTCTATCCATTCTGCAGCTCCGTCCCCCACCCCAGACCAGACCTCACGAACCAGGCTGGACAGACTCTTTCCTCCCTGTGACCCTCATCCTTATTAGTCATTGTCTGCTCCTTCTGGGCTTGGAGTCCAAAGAGGGACATTTTTCTTTTCTTATTATTTTTTTGGAGAGGTTATTTATTTATTTATTTATTTATTTTTGCTATAGGGCATGTGTGCTTGCCAGAAAGACAGAGAGAGACAGAAAGTGAGAAATCACCCCCCCCAGGGGGGATGGCCACACCATAATCCCTTCTTCTTCATTCTCCTCTTGGGATCTTGGGCACACACGCACACGTACCCAGTGTGAGTCTAAGCCACCAAGTCCAGTACTCGAACTGCAGTCGATTACATGTGACATAACCATTACGCCAACTGCTGGTCCCAAAAGAGGGCATGTAATTGGCAATGCTGAGACCAGGGTTTCCCCACCTCCACCCCTTCACCATCGTTTCTTGCCTTCGCTCTACAAGGAGCACATTGCTGCTTCGTTTTCCCCTTTCCCAGCTTCTATAAGAAACCAAGACAGTTGGCCAACATTTACGGAGCATTGACCGGATGGGCAAAGAGGCTCTTACCCCAAGGCGCTTACGGTCAGATGTGGCACTTACAATCGCACACAAGGCAAATAGTGTCATAACAGTTACATACAAGATGCTGCCCGTGACTCTTTAAATTCTTTTTAGATTTTTGCTATAGGGCATGTAGGCTCACCAGAGAGAGACAGAAAGAGAGAAAATAGGAAATCACTCTCCGGGGGGAAATGGCCATGCCACAGTCCTTTCTCCATTTCCCTCTCAGGATTTTGAGCATATACGCGCACGCACCCAGCAAGTTTTTCAAGCTGCCAAATCCTAGCCATGAGCCATAGAACTGACCCTGTGGGATCCAGTGCCTTAACTGCCATGCCACCTGCTAGCTTTAAAAATAAATGTAAAGAAGGTTTTGCCTTAGTACCTTAGGGAGCTGGAGATAGAGACAGACACAGTGAGAGGGAAAGTGAGAAATCCCCCCTGGGGTGATCACACCACAATCCCTTCTCCATTCTCCTCCCGGTATCCTGGGTATGCGTGCACATGCACCTGGTGTGATTTTTCAAACCACTGGATCTGGGACTCGAACCACAATTGGCCATGTGGGAGTCCAGCAATGTAACTGCTATGTCACCTGCTGGTCCTTAAAAAAATTTTTTTTTGCCAGAGGCTGCATGTGGTTGCAGCATGTGGGAAAGGTCATGTGGGAAAGGTCATGTTGCAAGGCCTTCTCCATCTCTCCCTCCTTTGGGGATTTTGGACATACACATATGTGCCTGGCATGTTTTCCAATCCATCAGGTCCAGGACTGAACCCTACAGTCAGCCACATGGGATCCAGCCGCCTTACCCACCACACCACAGGCTGGGCCAACCCATGACTCATTCTCACTGGGTATGTGGTGTCAGGGCCTGCTTCAGGGAAGAAGTAGCATTCACAATAAGCCTCAAGGGATGAGTAGAGTATCCTTGGAAAGATTAAGTAAGGACATCCCAGGTGGAAGTATCGGCAGAAATAAGGACAGAGGAGACGTGTAGGCACAGGAGGTGTCATGGAAACTGATGAGGGAAGTGAGACTCTAGGGGTAACAGGTGGGAAAAGAACTCCGAGTACTACTCCCTGTTTAAGGTGAGCTTAGTGCCCGGTATTTTCTGCTTAGAACAACACCCTTTACAGAAGGAGGAATAAAGGCCCCTCCTCCAGTGACTCTCAGCTTTAGTCAAATCTGTAGATCTGGGCACCTTGGGCCTGAAAGACCATGGCTGTTTTTCAAAAGCCATCTGTTAGTACATAAAAGGCACATAAACTCAGTGCGCCCACAGAACAAGCCATTCTTTCATCTCTTTGCTCAGATTTTAAACCTGACACTCTGCCTACTCTTCAAAACTGAAATTGCAAATCACCTAGCTACAGCAGCTAACTTATGAAATGTGTCACAGAAAATCCACTTAGTATTCTCACTTTCTCTTTTCATCTTATTTGCTGTAGGGCTCGTATGCTTGCCAGAGAGATACAGGGAGGGAGAGAGAGGGAAAACAAAGTCACCCCAGGGGGATTAGCCATACCACAATCCTTTCTCCAGCCACTAGGTATAAGACTCAAGCCATGTATGGGAACCAGCAGTTAGGTCATGGCTATGTTGCTGGATTCCCATGTAGTCAACTGTGGTTCGCATCCCGGACCCGGTGGCTTAGAACTCATGCCGGGCGCGTGTGCGTGCATGCCCAAGATCCTGAGAGGAGAATGGAGGAGAAGGGATTGTGGTGTTGCCATCCCCCCGGGGGGTGATTTCTCACTTTCTGTCTCTATGTCTCTGTCTGGTGAGCACACGTGCCCTATAGTGAAAACCTCTCAAAAAAAAAAAAAAAAGACTCAAGCCATGTAGTTGGCCCTGTGGATCCAGCCACCCCAAACACTATGCCACCTGGCTGGCCTCAGTATTCTCATTTTCTAAATGTGCCCTAAAAACAAAACCCAAAAAGTACTAGGAGTGCAAAAATTGTCTATTGAGTACAAGCTACACTAGGTATTACCAAGAAGAGAAGTCCAGAAGTCGGTGCATTTTCTTTGCAATATACAAGTGCTCTGAATATGAGCAGAATCTGAGTAAAAATAAATGCTCTACTGGTCTCTTCACACTTTTTCAGGATCTGTGATAGGCTGGCGTGAAAGGCAAAGCAGATTAAGAACTGCAGTTTGGGTACTGCAGGTGGCATGGTGGTTAAGGCGCTGGACTCCCACATGGCCAACCATGGTTCAAGTCCCGAACCTAGAGGATTGCCTTCTCACTTTCCCTTTCTCTCTGTCTCTGTCTCTTTCTGGTCAAATTAAATAATAATAATAAAATGAAATAAACAAGTCTTTAAGAAAAAGAACAATTTGAGGTCCCCGGTCCCCCCACCACACACATACACACGGAGATGGGGAAATAAAACGAACAAAAAGAAAACATTCTTTTCTCTGACGAAGAGTAAAGCGCAAGGAATATCAGACCGAATTCAGAAATGACAACGCAATCCCTTTGACTTCTGTCCATGGTGCTGAAGTTTATTCATTTTCAAACTGCTTTCCGTAACAGGTGAGAGTTTACTCGGAAATTTAATGGGAAGGCAGGGGAGCCATGATTAAACCATTTTATCTACATTTAGCTCAAAATGTGAGACATGTTGGAAGCTGCAGATGGAATAGGGTGCTCATCACAGCTGACTCCTTGCCAACGAGATGAGACCAAGTGGCATGTGGGTCTCATGCCGTCCGCCCTGGGGCTGGCCTCCTGGCTGTTATCTTCGGTACTACAAAGAGAACACAAATGAATGTGGCTTAGCCACCTGACTATTGGGAAAGTCAGCTTCCTGTAAGACCCGAACGCCTAACCTCACCATCGAGCAGCTACTTCCCACCAGCCCCAAGTCCAGCCTGCTGACCCTCTGAATTTCACAGACTGGTAAGCAAGTTACTCAAGAGAGCCAATAGGGGCAATTCCTGTCAACTTCATTCAAATCTGCGAGGATCTTAAACTTCAGGAAAAGAACATGAACAGCTCTATAAACATTTTAATGTCCCACTTGTAGTAGCAGTGACTTTTTTTTTTAAAGCATTTTTCTCAACAGGCTGTAGCTGAAGATGACAACATTGCCCTGAGCCTCATGAGCACCCACCATGTTGGAAATTTTAGCAGGAATAGGTGTCTTCACAGGTCCCTTTCTTTTTTTTGGTGTCTTCACAGGTCCCTTTCCTGCTGAAGGTTTGAGCCTTATCAAAACTACATTTTTTTTTTCTCTTCAAATCCCATTTCTACTCCCCTTTCCTCTTACCCGGAAGCTGTTGCAGCCCAGTCCACTCTGGGCCCCAATCCTGTCCATCCTGCCCCCAAAGCAGCTGGACCTCCGCAGGCTCCGAGGGGCAGCAAGCATCGCCCTCAGCTTGCTTTTCAGGAGAGCAGATCTTTCCGAGGAGTCCCAGGGGCTCCGCCCAAGGGCACCCCCATCTCTCTGGGCTGGGCTGACCTCCCCAGTCCAGGGAGGTACCTCAGGGAGGGGGCTGAGAGCTGCCCCGGCTTCATCAGTCTGCTCACTCAGTATTTGTGGGGGTGCAACTTCATCTTCTAAAGGCATCTTGTCCTCCAAACGATCCAGCAAGTCCTTTACAAAGGGAAAACACAAGGAAAGCGAGAGGCCTCATTGACTTGGAGAAAATCAAGAGGAGTGGGCTCATTATCAGGAAACTCCCTGGCCCCAGAGTGTGTCCCCTCTCCTGACCCTACCTTGAAATCCATCAGGTCTGCACTGGACATGCCATTGTACACAGGGCTAGCTCCAATGTGACCCATTTGACCTGGAAGCAGAAACACCAGGAAGAGGAGGAGGCTCGTGGTGAAGGGGAAGGAGCCCATGCCGGCGCTGGCCAAGGAATGATCTGCGTGCTGCCTCTTCGCTCTCCTCTGGCTTCTCTCTCTCTCTCTCTCTCAGCCGTTGTCCGTCACTGTCCCCCAGCTGGCCAGCACCTCCTCCTTTTATAGCCCCCTCGCTCTCTGAGAGCACCAGCGGGATGGAACCCTCCCCATTCTGTCACTTGCAGCGATAAAGCAGCTGAGTGAGGAGCCCACAGAAGATGCCCTTTTAAAGTTATCAGCCCAGCAGAGCTTGTCACGGCCCCTCCGCCTTCAGCAGACCCTCGGCTGCAAGAGCCACATTCTTGCTGATTTGCCTCAAGAGGCTCCCACTTCAAAGGTGTGAGAAGAGCAAAAGAGTCCTTGGTTATCTCATCGCCATGCCTCGGGAATCTTTCTCCTCGCCACTGGGACCCATGTGAGGAAGCTGAGGGTAACGGCTGGCTGGCGCCCAGCTCCCCTGGGTTGTGGCTGGCTCAGCCAGCAGGGGCTCCAAATAAGGGTGGGAGAGGAGGGAATGGCAGGCCTCCGGCAGCTTCGGACAGCTGGGCTCCCACCTG